TGTCATTCTCATATTTAAAACCCATAAATGCGGCCAGGTGCAGTGGCTCACGCCTGTAATCCCAGCACTTTGGGAGGCTGAGGCGGGCGGATCATGAGGTCAAGAGATTGAGACCATCCTGGCTAGCATGGTGAAGCCCCATCTCTACTAAAAATACAAAAATTAGCTGGGCGTGGTGGCACACACCTGTAGTCCCAGCTACTCAGGAGGCTGAGGCAGGAGAATTGCTTGAACCCAGAGGCAGAGGTTGCAGTGAGCCGAGATTGCACCACTGCACTCCAGACTGGTGACAGAGAGAGATTCTGTCAAAACAAAAACAAAAACAAAAACAAAAACCATAAATGCTAATGAACCAAGTGCAAAGCCCTGAGCTTGTCCAGGCAACATTGCCTGGAAACTTGACTTTCAATCCTTACTTTGCTCTATTCTCCTCACATACACACACTTCATACACCACAGCTAAAAGAGACTTCCCACAATTCTCTAAAAATGACTCACATTTCTATTTCCTGTTTTTCCCTTTGCCCACGCTGCCCTCTCTCCCTCTGCCTTCATTTTTTTTTTTTTTTTTTAATTAACCTCTAGAATTCAGGTGCTCCTGCTCCAAGGTTTAGGTCAAAAGTTACCTCCTCCATGAAGCTTTCTCTCATTCTCCCACAATGTGTGAAAACCCCACTCTCTGATTTGTTTAGTTGTGCATTTGTGTATTCTACCTTGCACTATAGTCATTTGTATATTTATCTTATGGTTTCTGTGCTTTAGGAAAGGTACATTGTCTTAATCATCTTTGTTGAATACAGTGCCTAGCAGAGTGCCTCAAGTATAATATGTACTCAAGGAATAATAGATACATTTTTCCATGCATATTTTCTACTGTATCCAAGTGGAAAATATATCCATGTGATACAGTGGAAAATATCTCATGAAGAGAGATATAGTGAGGAAAATATCTCATGAAGACCAAAAAGCAGAAATCCAGGTTTTTTCTTTTCATTACTATCATCTGTGATTATTAATTTTATGTGTCAACATGGTTGGGCTTAAGGATGCCCAGATAGGTGGTAAAATATTATTTCTGGATGTGTCTCTCAGGATGTTTCTGGGGGAAATTAGCACTTGAATCAGTAGACTAAATAAAGAAAATCTGCCCTCACAAATGCGAGCCAGCATCATACAATTTATTGAGAGTTTAGGTACAACAGTAAGGCAGAAGAAGGTGAACTCTCTCTTTCCTTCAGCTGGGACATCCATCTTCTCGTGCTCTGACATTGGAGCTCCTAGTTCTTGGGCCTTCAGATTCTGGGACTTATACCAGTTCCTCCCCACACTCCCAGTTTCTCAGGCCTTTGGCATCAGACTGGGAGTTATGCCATTGGCTCCCCTGGTTCTCAGACCTTTGGACTCATACTGAATTATACTACTGGCTTTCCTGGTACTCCAGCTTCAAGATGACATATTGTGAGACTTTTCAGCCTCCATAATTGCATGAGCCAGTTTCCATAATAAATCTCCTCTTGTGTTCCTATATATTCCCTATTGGTTTTGTTTCTCTATAGAATCCTAATAGATCATCTAATTGTTTATCTAACAAGTCTTTTCCTCCCTAGACAATATGTTAGGCAATAACACAAAAATGAAAACACAGACATCTGCACTCAATAAACTTATATTCAGTATCAGAGAGATTAGCACAGAATACAAATAAAATAATGAGATACATGCAAAACAATATGAATTGCAAAATTACGGCAATTCACCACCAACTAGGTACGTGACCTTGGGCAAAGCACACCGTGAGCTAAATATTAACAAGTTTAAAATGCAGAATCAGAGGCAGTCTATGAATTAATGATTCTAACCATTGCATGGCCTCCTTTGCTGATGGATGGCACATTGGTGTTAGAAAGTGCTTATATTTGCAAAAGTCCATTATTGATGCTTTAATTCTAAGGAAATTATGTAGGCAGCAACTAAAGAAAGGTTCAAAAAAATCAGCTATAATTGATAACTAGACAATGAAAAAAATTAATTATCAGTGATTTATCAGCACCACTAGATAAATACATAAGGGGAATTTAAGGCCATGAAATGCAGGACAAGCCTCACAGGAAGCAATGTCCCAGTGGAGGAGATGCTGTCCCCTGGGCTCCCACCTGCCACCACTAGTATTCACCGTATCTGATTGGAAATGTGTGCATGTGAGTCAGCCTCCCCTCTATGATGTGAGTGGCGACCTCTTTTTGTTCATCTCTGTATCCCCTACACACGATGCTTGGCACATAGCAAGTATTCAGTAAATGTTTATGAATGAAGCAATCACTCATTGTCACCAAAAATTTACTGGGAATTTCACATGCTAAATCTAGAACAAATGATGTGGCTCCTATCATCAAATAAAATCTGTGAAAACCCTAAAACGTAAACTGCAAACCATGACTTGGTCTTAGAGAGGGGTCGTTATCAAATGAAAACAACTCGGCTGCCAATAAGTCATTTCAAAATAAAATCCTCTTTTTGTTATTTCTCAAACACTGTGAAAAGGAATCTCAGTCTGCAGAAACAATTCACAAGCCCCTTCCTTTCATGTGGTCATGTCACATCACACAAGCCCTGTCATGCACCTCTCTCCTTCCTACCCTCCCACCAAAACTGCTCTCCCAAACCTCGTCCTCAAACCTGTGCCCTTCTAACCCTCCACCTTTTCGCATGATTCTGTGTCACAAAAGCCCAAAAGAACTACTCTGGCAAGATCTAACAGTATCTGAAATATCGGGAAGAAAAATAAAATAAATAGGCAAAACTAGAACAATTATTTGTAGGCAGTAGAACAACATTCTCAGATCTACCATATATTATAAATGCTGGCCTGATGGCATATAAATAAAACTTAAAGGTGCCCAAAGAAATTGAAAATGGTACAAAGAAACAGAAGTGTTTAAATTTTTTAAGCATCTGCAATGTTTGGGGGATTTGTGATGCTCAATCACAAAATATTTATTAAGCACCTACTCTAAGAATTTGTTTTGAAACAGATACCATGTCAGGCATACCCAAGACTGCCACCCCTCCCCCTACATTTGGACATCACTAGAAGGACCCCATGGGACTCAGTGTATGGCGGTACCTAAAGCTAAGATTTATTCTAGTGATATAGTAAGGATACACAGCCAGATCATAAGGGAGAGCCACAGGCAGAGTCTGAAGGATTTTATGTGCAGACTTCCTTATGCTTCTGCCTACCATGGGAGATAACATAGAGTACAGCAAGGAAAATGCAGCAACTTGTATGTGATGTTTCAGTCCATGGAAGAAGCTTCTTTTTAGAAACTCGGTGCCCAAGGTTTTTCATGGGGCTGATCACATGGGCACCCTCTGCCAAGCACATCAAAATATTCCAGACTCCAAGCAGGCAAGCAGGTGTTCAAGCATAAACTGTGTTGTTTGCACAAAAGTCTAGGCACAGTGAACCACACTTAACAATGGACTGTTGACTGAGAGACCTCCAAGGGCCAGGTTCCCAGTTACCAACCAAAGGCTAACCTGGCAAGCGGGTCTTTCTAAAGGTAGCAGAGTCAAGCCTGCTATGTTTACTCTTTCCTGCACAGATATAAAGGCCCAGTTTTTGTTTCAAGGCAATTAACATAGACAGAAATAAGATTTATACATAAAAATATGCATTGCATACAGTAGCATCCTAGATAACACTAAAGCAAAAATTCCCAAAATGTCCTTGAGCACTTTTATCAGCATCATCAGGATGCTTGTCAACCTAGCGGCTACAGCCCAACGCATCCTGAGCAATAGAAGAATGGGGCATCAGTAAGAGCCACAGGCTAGGGGGAGATTACAGAAGACCTTGAATACCATAAAGAGACATTTGAATTTGATTTCATAGTCTTAGAAAGCCACTGAAGGTTTTATTTTTTCTGCACCAGATGACAAGATCAAAATAGCATTGTTTGAAGGTGAATCTGATTACCTATATAGAACATATTGAAGGAGGATAAGACCAGAGGCCAAGAAACCAGAAGCTCAAAAGGAAAGAAAATGATCCTAATATGTAGGGACCACTCATTAGGAATTAGGCTCTGCTCAGGGTGCTTCCCATGAATCCTGTCAGCCTTCTAAGGCAGTTGCTATTGTTCCTTGTAGCTTGCCAGTGTCATGCAAGTCAGGACAATAGGAAAGAAGCAGGGAATAGAAAAGGAAATAGATAAAAAAGAACTGAAAATAGAAAAAGGAGTGGCGAGCCAGTGCCTGAAGCAAGGGAGAGGAAGCCATCACAGGTAACTCCTGAACATATCTCCTTCTCTCCTACCTTTGGGCCTTTTATTCTAAGACAGGGAGAAAGTCATCTTCCAAAAATGGGGGAACATAAAAAGAGAACTAACAGCAGAAATAGTCAAATTTTTCTAAATGAGATAAGAGAGTTGAAGAAGGAATAGGATGTTCCACCTTCTTTCTGACTCAGACAGTAAGGAGTGGGTAAACTAGTAGCATTCTTTTATCTTCACTATCTCAGAGAAATTTACGCTATTAAAATGGTTTCTTCTTGATTATTTCCCTGACATGATGCAACTCCAAAATCACTTAATAACTGAGCTACTCTTGAGACTAATTCTTAAGGTGTCTAAAATGAACACCCAAAAGCATCACAGTCCCATTAGGACACATTTATTAATCACTTGATTCCATGAAAGATGTTTATGATGCTACAGTGAGACACTGACCCTAAGGGCTTTAGAGGACACAACATAGAAATCTGCTCGATTGATAAATATCCATCTTAGTTCTTACTTTATAAAACCCAGAACTAAGTAACAAGACATGACAAGCCACTATCTGTTGCCTCAATTGGCATTTAAGCAGGAGGCCAAAGACCATTAGAACAAATTGAAATTAATTAATGTAGCAAAATAACTCAATACTAGGATGCTGATCTTATCTTGTTGAAAATTACTCCAGGATCTTTATTTGTCCTTAACGTAACTTTCAAGTGAGCTGCCTGTATCTTTCGTATTCAGAATCCCTATTAGCCAATTACAGTGCTCGGCAGTGTGGCCAGGAAACAAGAAGGAGGAACTTGAACAAAATCCTTAAAATAGACCTTACCCCAAAGGCTTACGGAATGTCCCCCATGATTGGGGAGAATTCATTCTGATTTTGGTAACTAGCTCAGGTACAGCTTGCTTGAGAATTATTTTCCTCTAAGAGGTAATGCCAGGAAAAAGTTATATGAAAGGATCTGCTCTTTCTCAGGGTAATTTATGTATTTCTTTATATTTCAGCCTGCCTTGTACTTCATGCAGGTTGAACAGAAATGTTTCCTGAGCATGTATTGTTACAGCCCTCTCAGATAGTACAAAAGAATGAAAGAAGACATGACCTGCTTTCCAGGATTTTTACAAAAAAGATGGGATGAACACAGGTAAAAGCAAGATGAACATACGCAGGTGACTGTTTATGAACAGCAATTAAGTGCATGGGTTATGGGCGTTGAAGGGCCTAGGTTTAAATCCTGGCTCCATTAGTTACCACTTGGAGCAAGTTGTATACTCTTTATAAGCCTCAGTTTCCCCTTCTGAGAAACTGGGTTGATAGTACCCATCTCATAAGGTCTTTGTCAAGGGTGGTAAGATAATAAACATAAAATGCTTGGCACATAAAATACAAAAAAAAAAAAAAAAAAAAAAAAAAAAAAAAAAAAAAAAAAAAAAAAAAAAAAAAAAAAAAAAAAAAAAAAAAAAAAAAAAAAAAAAAAAAAAAAAAAAAAAAAAAAAAAAAAAAAAAAAAAAAAAAAAAAAAAAAATGAGTTCAACAAATGTTAGCTACTATTATCAAAAAAAATACTGTTTTTGTTTTTACTACTATTACTACTACTCCTAATGCCTTGCTACTCTCATCTATATTTTGCCCCATACCTTAAAGACAGGGAGGCTCCCAAGCTGAATGCAGTGGTCCAGGTCAGATAGAATATAATGCATCTCAGGCAGGGAAGCCAGGAGGCTCGGGGTCTGTCAAAAATGGCACAGAAGAGCGTTTCCAATGGAGGAGATGGCTGTGGAAAGGAGTAAGCAGAGCCTGGATGAAGTAAATAAGTACATTTGCTCTAAATGGCTTTCTGAACCGAGAAAGGGCATATGTTCACAGATTATTTGATTTTCAGAGCTGGAAATTGACTTAGAAATCCTTAAGTTACTTTTTTTTTTAATGCAGCTTTTGGATAGCCATAAAAATCTTATACCTTCCTTTAATGTTATTTAAATTTTTGAAATAAGTTCAGTAACAAGAAAAAAAAGAAAGATGGACACAACAGTAACTTTGAGACAATTTTCTTTAGATCCTAAAAGACACGTATTTCGGCCGGGCGCGGTGGCTCACGCCTGTAATCCCAGCACTTTGGGAGGCCGAGGCGTGCGGATCACGAGGTCAGGAGATCGAGACCATCCTGACTAACACGGTGAAACCCCATCTCTACTAAAAATAAAAAATAAAAATTAAAAAAAAATAAAAAAAAAATTAGCCAGGCGTGGTGGCGGGTGCCTGTAGTCCCAGCTACTCAGGAGGCTGAGGCAGGAGAATGGTGTGAACCCGAGAGGCAGAGCTTGCAGTGAGCCGACATCGCGCCACTGCACTCCAGCCTGGGCGACAGTGCGAGACTCCGTCTCAGGGGAAAAAAAAAAAAACAAAAACAGATACGTATTTCTTCCTTTGATCATGTGGCTACAACCTTAGCACTGAATCTGCTTGCTCACCACCGGCTTTTCACTCCTAAGGAAATGCAGAAGACAGAGCCAGAGGCAGGCTATTCTCCATGTCAAGCTTATCTGCTGCTTTATTTTCAAATACCTTAAGACCCTTTCACCCTGACTCTGATACACCCCATAGCAGGCCAGGACTCTGCCTACTCCAAAATCATAATTTTACAGACAAAGAGACAGTGAGACTGCAGTGACTTAATCTTAGCCACACAGCTAGTTGGCTAAGAAAGGAAATAGAAATCCTGCTGTTGGAGAGGAGGATTCAGAGGAGGAGGAGAAACAGGATAATGAAGGCTTATAATAACTGTGGGAAATCAAATGATGTCGGCAGCAACAAAGGGACTTAAGCAAAAAGATATTTAGGAAAAGAGACTTAAGCAAAAAAGGGACTTAAGCAAAAAAGATATTTAGGAAAAGAGACTTAAGCAAAAAAGGACTTAAGCAAAAAGAATTTTTAGGAAAAGCATTCTTGCTGTTGTATGCAGAGTGCAATAAATAACCCCTGTCATATTCCTTATCTCTGCACCTTTTGCTACCAGAACCTAAAATATATACCAAGAAAATATATTTAAAGGTAAAATCTGGTGTTTTTGTGGTTTTTTTTCTTTTGAGTCGATTTTCTATGTATAATCAGTGATTAACCCATTTCAGGAATGAAGTAGAAATGAAGGATTTTCTCCCTGGTGGTAATAACAAACTTCAAGGCTCTATGGCTAAAAATACAAATTTCCTTTTGTTGCTTCTTTGTTGTGGTTGTTGTTCCTGAGATAGGGTTTTTGTGTTGCCCAGGCTGGAGTACAGTGGTGCCATCACGGATCACTGCAGGCTCAACCTCCCAGGCTCAATCAATCCTCCCCAGAGCTGGCATGCAGGAACGTACCACCACACCTGGCTAATTTTTGTACTTTTAGTGGAGATGGGGTTTCGCCATGTTGTCCAGGCTGATCCTGAATTCCTGGGCTCAAGTAATCCACTCACCTCAGCCTCCCAAAGTGCTGGGATTACAGGCATAAGCCACTGCACCTGCTTATATTTTTTTCAAGGGCAAAAAATTACAAATTGAGCACTCATGAACTTAGAGTCTTTTGAATGTTCTCCAAATCAAAAGTCAAGTTTTAGTCCTACTTCCCCTAAGCAGAGAGTTCTTCTCAGCTTAGAGTTTCATTTCAAAGAACTGATGGCAAGGATTTTTCAGGTAGAGTTCTCATATTTGAAAGCTTCATTCCTTCCAAGCACAACTGCGTGCATATTGACCTAATACAGACCTTTTGGTAGATTCTCAGAAAATGTTTGACGGTGACCTTGGCCTTCAGGACTTGGCCACCACCCTTAGCTTTCATGGCCTTTTCCCACAGGGAACCAGATGAAAAAGGAACTTCAAGCCTGGAATTATTCTGTTCAGCCACTTCTCCTGTTGCTTACCAAAGGCTTTGCCAATGATAATACTGATAAAGGGCAACATAAACACATCTGTGTGCGAGTTGCCATCTGAAATTAAAGTTAAACACACTTGGTGCTGACCAATAAACTGTAGTGTTTTTTTCAGAAGCAAAGAGGATATTCTTTTTCTCTTGGAGCCTTGGAAAACAGGCAAGAGTATGAGGTAGGGGAAACTCCAGAGTTTCTATATAGGAAGGGACTGAAGCAGGAATCTACCTAGAAGAGAAGCCTAGGGGACTTGACTCTTTTTTTTTTTTTTTCTTGATATGATTTGAATGCCCCCTTCAAAACTCATGTGGAAATTTAATTGCCGAAGTAATGGTATTGGGAGGTGGGCCCTTTAAGAGGTGATTAGGTCATGAGGGCAGAGCCCCATGAGTGGGCTCCTGATGAAAGGATAAGTTCAGCCTCCATTTGCTCTCTGTCTCTAGTGCTCACTTCCACCTTCCACCCTTTCACCATGAAGGACCCACACCAGATGCTGGCGCCATACTCTTGGACTTCCCAGTCTCCAGAACTGTGAGCCAAATCAACTTCTTTCTATGTAAATTACTGTTTGTGGTATTCTGTTATAGCAACAGAAAACAGACTAAGACAATACCTAACATGATGTTTTGATATACATATTGTCACAAGGCAAAATTATAACAAATTTAGTTTTAAGATCTAATTGGCTTCTATTTGTGATTCTAGAATTCAGCAGTATTTTATTCTATAAATAGAGTGAGTGCTCCACTGGGCATGGCAGAACAGTTGGTTTTTGTAAAATGGGAACAAGGAAACAGAATAATAGAAAAAGGCAGATCAGTTAACATCAGGTTACTTCAGGTTACTTTTCTTATAAGGGTTAAAACAGTGGAGATTACCTTATTATACTGACTCAGGTTGACTAGGCCCTTTCCAATTGGTTTCTGTGACTCTTCTGTTTTCAAAAATATCTGGTCTGTTTGGAAATTTACCTGCTTTCTTAAAATTTCGGTTTAATCATGTGGCACTTAGCATGTGGGACTCCATTTTGCTTTCGTTTGTTGGGACCTAGAAGGAGAGCGTCCATAAATTTGATTTAACAATATGCATAATGACATGATTACAACATCAAGCAAATTAACATATCTATCATGTTACACAGTTACCTTTTGTGTGTGTGTGTGTGTAGTAAAATTACCTAAAATCCACTCTCTTAGCAAATTTCCTTATGAAACAAAATATTATTAACTACAGTCTTCATGCTATACATTAGATCTCTAGGCTTATTTATTCTACATAAATGAAACTCTGTACCCTTTGGCCTCCATCTCCCCACTCCTCTACTTTTCCTACCCCTGGTAACCACCTTTTTACTCTGTTTCTACATATTTGAATTTTGTTTCTTTTTTAAAAATTTCACATAAAAGTGACATCATGTAGTATTTTTCTTTCTGTGTCTGGATTATTTCACATAGCATAATGCCCTCTTGGTCCATTCATGTTGACACAAATGGCAGGATCTCCTTTTTTAAGACTGAATAATATTCCATTGTGTATGTGTGTACACACACACACACACACACACAAACACACACAATTTCTTTATCCATTCATCTATTGAGAGCCAAAGGTTGTTTCCATATCTTAGTTATTGTGAATAATGCTGTGAAACATGGGGGCACAGATATCTCTATAAGATGATTTCATTTGCTTTGGATATACACTAAGAAACAGAATTGCTGGCTCATATAAGAATTTTATTTTTAATTTTTCGTAGAACCTCCACATTATTTTCCACAATGGCTGCACCACTCTGTATTCCCACCAACAGTATACAAGTTTCCCTTTTATGCATGTTCTGGGCAACACTTGTTATCTCTTGTGTTTTTTTTATAATAGCCATTCTCACAGGTGTGAGGTAATACTGTGGTTTTGATTTGCATCTGCCTAATTAGTGATATTGAGTACCTTTTTATATACTTGCTGTAGGAGGCTTTTCTTGCAGCTGTGTTTGCAAACACACTGCTTTTACATAGATTGCATATTTATTGGGACGCTCCTTGGATTTTTTCAGAAGAACAGCATCAGCTTCAGCTGAATGGAGCTGATGAAGATGGAGGTGGTTAAGCCCCTAAATCCAAGCCATCCCTGGCCTCTCTACTGAAGACTAAATGAATAAATGAAAGGCCAAAGGGGAAAAAATGTTCAAAAATGAGGAAAATCAAATGTTTATGAGTCTGATTTGGTATAAATCCCTGAAATCTTACAATGTTTAGACCCTGGGAGCTTCCAAACACAACCATATGAATAGTTCAGATGATCATTCCATATCCGTCCTATGTATTATCTACTTTGTTCATATTCTGCTCTGGGTTTGAAAAAAAATAATAAAATAAATTGCTTTTTTAAAGAAATAATACCACAAATAGTGCAAAATTCAAAGGTACACAAAAATATAGTGAAATACAACAGTACTTCCTACCCCTATCACCCAACAACTGTTGCATTTCTTGAATATTTTGAATATACTTCCAAAGCTGTTCTATGTATATACAAGTATATATGTGCATGTATTTTTATGTAAAATTTACATATGACATACATAGGAAAGTGGTTTTTCAAGCTATTTTTTTTACTGTGATCTACAAAAAGAAATAAACTTTCTCCTGTGTTCCATTGATGTAGCTATGTGTGCACCACTACCATAGTGCTGTAACAATTATAACTCTATAATATGTGTTCATCAGAGCATTCATGCTTCTCATTACTATTCTGATTCAAGATGCTTCCTAGCTATTCTTGCTTTTTTTATTTTTCCATATAAACTGTAGAATTAGCTTCTCTGGGCATACAGTCCTTTCTTGCATATCTTAGCACCAATTGTTGTTTATGTGTGTAAAGGCTATTGATTTTTTTATCTAGCCACACTACTCAATTCTCTTATTTTTTTTAACTATTGTTGGCAGTGATCTTTCGGTTAATTTTCTTGGGTTTTCAAGGCACAGAGTTACATTATTTGCAAATATAATTATCTTACCTCCTCCTTTCCAACTTGTACATACCACTCTTCTTTCTCTTATCTAAAAGTTGGTTAGTACCTCAAGACCAATGTTCAACAATGTTGTGGCAATGGCATCGTTGTCCCAATTTAATGTGAGTGTATGGTTTGCCCATTAAAGATGACCTGGCTTTTGAGGTAAGACTAATATATTTTATTAATGTGATATAAATTTAGTTTTACTTTATGAGGTGTTTTTTCACAATCAATAATGGATTTTAATTTTATAGCAAACATTTTCAGCAACCGTGAGTGTGGGCATATGGTTTTACTGTTTTCATATATACTAGGATGTTAAACAATATCAATAGATTTCCTAATATTAAACTATCCTTCCTTTCCTGAAAGGAAGGATATTCTACTGTCCTCCTGGAATGTGTTTGCTAGTATTCTATTGAAGATGATTGTATCGATAGTCACAAGAGACATTAGACTGTGGTTTTTCTTTCTTTTTATTATTTTTGTTGTTCTGTGGCAGACTGACACCAATGTAACCTCCACTTTATAAAAAGTAACTAGAGTCTTTTCTTCTAGAAGAATTTTAAAAGTATTAGGTCATTGAGTCATTAAGGTTATGAAGAACTCACCTGTAAAAATATCTGTGCCTGATAGTTTGGAAGAGGGATAGCCTGAGTTTACTGTTTTTTCTATTGCAATTGGTCTCTTTAGATTTTCTAACTCTTCTGGGGCCAGCCTTAGAACTTTATCTTTTCTAGAAATTACATGTTTTATCCAGGTTTTTACATTTATTTGCTTGTGGTACATATAAGTACTATAATCTCCTTTAATTTGCTCTGTCTATAATTATTTCTCTATTCTCGTTTTCTTATATCATCTATTCCTGCTTTTTCCCTTTAAAAAAACAGATGGGTGTTGCACCATTATTCACAATAGCTAAAAGGTAGAACCATCCAAGAGCACATAACAAAATCAATTGTATAAACAGAATGTGGTATGTTACATACAACAGAATATTATTCATACATAAAAAGGAATGAAGTTCTGATACATGCTAAGTGAAATAAGCCAGACAAAAAAAGATAAATATTATGTTATTCCACCTATATGAAATATCTAGAATAGGCTTCGTAGGCACAAAAAGTAGACTGAAGGTTACCAGGGGCCGGGGGGTAGGGAGAATGGGGAGTTACTGCTTAGAGGACACAGAGTTGCTGGGGTGATGAAAAAGTTCAGAAATCAATATTGGTGATGATTGTACAACATTTGCATATAATTAATGCCATGGATTTGTATATTTTTAAATAGCTAAAATAGCAAATTTAGGTTTATATTTTTAACCACAATTAAAAAGTATCATTTCAAAAAAAGAGCATAGCAAACAGTTTTACTTAAAAATTTTTCAAACACAACTCATAGACTTTATTTTGGCATTTTAAAAATTTTCCAAATTAATTAATTTGTTTTTATCTGTACTAATTTCTATTCTGCCTTGTCTTTATTTTAATACATTCTGATATTGGATGCTTAATTCATTTAATTTAATTCTTATTTATTACAAGTATTTGAAGTTATGAACTTTCCCCTAAGTACTGCTGTAACAAAATCTCAGTCTCTAATATACAGTGTTTTAATTCGTGTTGCTTTCCAAATATTCTGCATCTTTACTGATGATTTTCTCTTTGAGGCTGAAAAATTATATAGAGAGTGTTCTTTAATTTCCAGGAGGTAAGGTTATTTTTTTTCTCTCTTAATTTTTAATGTTTGAAGTTCTGTGTCGGCATGAGATAATGTCTGTACTATTTCTACTTGATGGACTGCATCGCAGTTTTCTTTGTGGCTTAATATGTAGTTAATTTTTGTAACTGCTCCATTAATACTTGAAAGGAAAGTTTAATCTGTCTTCATACTATATAGTTTGTTGTAAAGCTATTAAAACTATCCTTGCTTTTTTTCCATATGATTTCTTCATAGTTAAAAGATAAGAATTAAAGTTTTCTACTGCTAAAGGATTTCTGCCTATTCCTATTTTATGTAGCTTTGACCCCATGTTTTCCATGTCAATTTATCTATCATATTGAATTGCATTGTGAATTACATCTTTTATTATTATCAAGTTCCCCTTTTGTCTTATATTATGTTTTTTGTTTTGAATGCAACCATAGTTATGTCAGCTGCTCTTTTTTTTTTTTTTGCATTTACTTTTCATGTCTTTGCCTAATTTTTATCTTTGTCCTGAGTTTCATTATTTTAGATGCATCTCACATATTACAAATAATTTGATTTTCCTTCTTTGTAAATTTGAGTCAATTGGTGAATTTGACAATTTAAACTTATCATTATGGTAATATGGTGAAATGTTGTACTCTCATTTATGTTAGGATTCCCTTCTCTTGCTTTTGATATTCCACTATATAGTCTATTTTGTTATCATGCCAACTTGATTTTTCACTCTTATTTTTTATTGTTGCCTGGATTCTAAAATTTTTCGTTGGCCTTGAGGGCCAGTATGTTTACTTGGATACATCTCAATGTTGATTATTCTGTATCAATTTTTTCTGGGCTACAGTATGCCCTTTTCATTTGTAGACTCAAGTCTTATTTTATTTCTAAAGAGTTTTGCTGAGTGATATCTCCAGACTTCTTCTTAAAAGATACAAATAATGCATATGTTGCAATTCTTTTGTTTTCCATCTTTCATGTTCTCTCTAGTTCACTCTAACTTTGTTCATTTCTGGTTATTTTGCTTATATCTTTTGTTTATGTCTTAATCTTGCTCTCCTATTCCTCACTGTGATGTTAGCAGTGTTTCTTCTTAGTGTTTATTACAATATGCTTGCATTTCCATGGTAGCTTTATTTTTCTCTTCTGCTTCCTTCCTGACCTTCAGAAGTTCTTGTTTCATTTCCTTCTGTGGTGGCCCTATTATTTCCCCTGATCTCTCAATTGCTCTGCTTTGAGCCTCTTCATTGTTTCATTAAATTCATTGTTCATAGACATTTATTTTGTCATAATTTTCTACTTCTTAATGGCAACTTGTTATTGGTGAGGATTCCTTATGCTCCCCCGCCCTCTTCCTCCTTTTGTCTTGTAACTTGTTTGTATAGCTCCTGTGCTAGTTGCCTTTTCCTTACTCCTCTTTAAATGAAGTATGTTCTTCCTGATGTTGGAAGTGGTCCAGGGTCTTATTGAGAAGGGGATGAGCAGTTCCAGACTAGCGAGAATTCTCCCTGGTTCAGTGACAAACTCATGATGACAAGACTATGTGTGTGTGTTTGAATTTTTACCTCTCTCCGGCCAACAGGCATTGGCAGCTACAGAGCAGGAGGCAATTCAGCCTCTCTCCTCCACCCTGCCTCACCAGGACACAGACTGGTTGTAGCATTTCTGCACATTTTCTGCAGTTCTGCTTGCTCCACTTTCCTGTGAGGTCAAATGGGGTAAAGGGATGCTCCAGCTCTACCCTCCATGTACCTGCCTTTCTTGTGATTCCAAAGAAGGGGTGGTTGGTTTTGCCCTCAAAGTGCCATCTACTTAAGAAAACAGTTTCCTGCCAGCTTTATCTGAGCTCTGTGTTCCCAAGCCCTCCCTCCAGAAGCCTTTCTGCACCCATATTTGATTTTCACTGCATTGAGAGCCCTCTCCAAATGTTATCTTCTGGTAGTCTTCAAGGTTTATCAAATGTGAAATTCATATTTCTGTCCTTGTCTTCTGGCAAATTCTAAGGAGAAGGGTAGAAGACATATCTTTTGTCTGACCTTTTAAATGGAAATCCCAATATTTACAAGAGGTAAAAGGAATTTTGAAGTAAACATAAACAGCAGCCTTAAAGTTGGGAAATGTCCTGTCAGGGGAACATATATCCTGCCAATTAGTCATGGAAGAGGGTAGAACAATTACTTGAGTTTTGCCTCAGTGGTTGGAGACCAGAAGAGCACTATGCAGACTATGTTCTTGCTGTGTATAACTGTTCCCTCGCCGTGAAACTTATTTCCCCCAACCCCTGCTTTCCGTTATGTTTGTCCTTTAGAATCCTTGGTACCAGCAGCGTCAGCATCACATGGCAGCTTATTAGAGATGCAGAATTTTAGGCTCCTCCCCAAGCCCCAGAAGCAGCACACAAATCTGCATTTAACAAGATCCCCAGATATTCATATGCACATAAAGTCTGGGAAGCACCACTGTGGCTCTCAGTTCAAGTGCCAATTTGCTTCACTGATCAATCATATCGGGTTCCTGTTACGCATACCCAGAAAATGATCCTTCAGAGCTCTCGCTCTGTAACTGTGCATTTATTATGATAATTTTTTCCTCTTCCTGTGTATCTGTCTCACTAAACTAGTGCCAGGCTCCATGGCTTATCCCACAACCAATCAATATTTGCCAAGTGACTGAATTAATGTACAAAATTCATATTTCTATCTGAGCATTTTTAAAGCCAGTTGGCACTACCCATTCTCCCACCAGTGGTCTCCCTGCCTCAGACTCATCCATGACTGCATCAGCCTTGGACTCCTCAGCCCAGCTCTCAGACTGGCCCTTCCAGAAGTGAGTGAGTAAATGAAGGAAAAAATGACATTGCTGAAAAATCCAAGAAATTTCATCATTCAGACCATAGTTCCTCAACATCTCACATATCTGTAAATGCCACGGAGAGATTCTGTTTCCTGAGTGCTATTTTGGAAAATATAATCACGACTTTTGTGTGGGAAGAAAAGCCACTCCCCAGAGACATTGGAGCAGACACATCCCCACAGCCCTGGCCCACAGAGGGTATATTTCAGGAAGGTCTTACTGAAAGAAAGAGGGGCTACAACAGGGCTGGATGGGTGCTGAAGATGCTGAACTCAGGCAATGGAATTGCTTTTGTCAGTTACCCTCACCAGGTGTGGCTGTGTGATTGAAATTGCCAGTCTCCCCTGCTGGTGGCGGGGACTGTTTTGATTAACCAAGTAGAAGGTGATGGTTTGAAACTAGTTTCCCAATTTGGGTAATTAAACCTCTACTAAGTATAGCAGGTTTAAAATGAATGTTCACAACATTGAAACAGAAAGTGCTAATTCTAAAAATATAGACTCCCTTGCTGTGAAAGACCTCTCGGGGGAGAACCAACATTGAAGCAAAACAATGATTTCATCCCTCCTGCCTGTGAACCAATTTGTTCTAAGAGATGACGCTCACCACACTACAGCAAAGGAACCAGAGCTGTTACCAGACACTCAGGAAACTAATCACAGAAAGTCAAAGGAAGAAAGGTTTTAAGACTGAAACTGTTCTCTTTGTGGGATCCTGTCCTGCACCAAATCAGGCCAACCAGCACTTCTTATGTCTACTCAATACAAGATACATAAAACTCAAGTTAGTGGGAAAGGAATTTTCATTAAGTCACTTAGAAAAGAGAGACATGCAAATGAGAGAAACTGACTTTCTTTGAAGAAAGTGTAAACTTTCTAGGAAGCCTCTTTCCTGAATAATTAAATCACAGAGAACCTTGACTCTCTGTGGTCTCAAGAGCAATTACATCCAGTTCTCAAACAGAGCTGTTCCCTCATCATAAAATCCCCTGTGCAGTTCCCTCTGTATAACAACAAATGGTCCACAAACCTCCTTCAAAGAGTTGTCCTCACTTGGTGACTCCACTTCTCTCCCTGTTCTCTTTTATCTCACTCCAACACAGAAAAAGCTTGTATTGAGGTCACATGCCTTCATGTTGCTCAATCCAGTGGTCAGTCCTTTCATATCAGCAGCATGTGACAAGGCTGATGACTCCCTGCCTGAAAATCTTCGCTTTTCATTCATTTGGCGTTTAGCCCACCATCCCTTCTTCGTTGTACTCTGACCTCAGTAGGGACAACTTTGCTGGAAAAGAAATTTAGAATTTGATTATGTGTGACCTAAACTCCAGTGCCCATGTATTCTATTTTTGAAAGAGTTGAATTTTCAATTATATTTATAACAAAACCATGTATGTGGAAATGATGGAATAACAGCCTCTTTTTTTCAAGATGATATGTGCATCTTCAAACCTTTATACAGATGAGCTCTTTCCCTCCATTTTCTAAAACTATTAATTAGTCCTGAGAAGTGTGTTGCTATAAAATATTCTGTGAAGCATTTTCACTTATTTTTCTTTTCTTTCACAGAAAATAATATGGCCCAGTTCCTGGCTTTCAAAGAACTAGAGAAAATCTCATCATTGGTACCTCCAAGGCTCTTTGGTTGGTTCTGCAATCGTACGAACCCTTACGTGGTATCCTGAGACATTCTCCTCTCTCCACACCCTGGTACAACAATACCCACACACCTGATGGCAGAGCTTTTAGGTGAGCTTCTCCATCTTCTGGTTTAGAGTTACCCAGGAATAAAAAATAGCTCCTGCAGCTCTGAATCCTTCAAATCCCCCAACTGGCCCTTAACTGATTCTTCCTTAGTGAATCTGCAGACTTTTGGATGGGAGACAAATATGCACAAACTACACCTGCAATTCAATGTAAGACAAAGGTTACCTGGTACAATATTAATATGTGCCTGCATTGGAGATTTTGGAATCTTAGGACTTAAAGAAGGGCCTAATTCAATTACCAATTACCTCGGTTCCAGATGAGAAAATGAAGGCCCAGAAAAGCAAGTGATTTGCCTAAGATCTCACAGTGACCAGTGAAGGACCAGAGCTAGCCTAGGCTCTCCCGTCAGCAGTTAGGGCTCTTCCCAGTGTCCTTCTTCCTCTACATGCTACTTGCCTTTCACTTTACAGAGTCCTATCTTCTGCAGGGAAATGCACTGATACAGTCCCCTGTGCTTTGATCTTGGTGTTACAATTACATCTCTAGAGGATTCTTATATACCATAGTATGTTTCTTATATACCATAGTATGTTTCAATTTGGTCATCATTGGAACTCTCTGTCTATCTGTGCTCTTACCTCGACTTCCTTCAAAAGAAATCCATTCATTAACAAATCTTGCAGAAAAAAATGTCTGCAGCATTATCAGAAGTTAATCATTTAAATCTAAAGGATAAAGGAAAAGGTTAGGCATAGTGGATTAAAGAGTTCTTTTTTCAACTGGGCGCAGTGGCTCACGCCTGTAATCCCAGCACTTTGGGAGGCTGGGGCGGGTGGATCATCTGAGGTTAGGAGTTCGAGACCAGCCTGACTAACACGGTGAAAGCTTGTCTCTACTGAAAATGCAAAAATTAGCCAGGCATGGTGGTGCACGGCTGTAATCCCAGCCACCTGGGAGGTTGAGGCAGAATTGCCTGAACCCGGGAGGCAGAGGTTGCAGTGAGCTGAGATTGCACCATTACATTCCAGGCTGGGCAACAAGAGTGAAACTCCATCGCAGAAAAAAAAAAAAAAAAAAAAAAAGAGTTCTTTCTTCCAGCTGAAGATAGTCAAGGGGGTTATTTTCTACTATCTTCCTTGGAAAGGTGAGCATTCATTTGTTTCTCTGGCACATTAACATTCTCAACTAAGGTCAGTGGACTGGTTAGAACTACAGGTCTGATTTTCTTCAAGAGAACCCTCAAGATTTCTGATTTTACTTTCTTCCAAAGGAAATGTGTATTTTTTCCTCAAGTAAAGATCTTCAGGGGTATATTCCCCCTAAGTAATAGGTTAGCAAATTCTGTGAGCTTCAGAACATCGACTTTATCTGTGCCTAAGTCTCCAGATTTTCATAATGAACAATTTTGGTGATTTCTTGGCTACTAAACTGCTTTTTACATGAACGTGTTTGATTATGGGGAAACTAATACTGCAGATGAACAAAAATGAGATTTCTATCCCTTTCCTCCAATTCTTTTGGCCTAAACATATCTCTTTTACTCCATGAAACACAACTGAAGACTAATTCTTTTGCAATGCAGAGGTGAGCCTTCCAGCCCCAAACCTGGCCACATCCATCAAAAAGACTTTTTTATTGATGTAGTTAATCATTTGTATATTTATGAATTCTTTGGATTATTTGTGCTTTCTCAAGGGATATGTCACATTTATTTCTTCATACTCACAGACCTAGCCTAGAGTAGTTAGTCGGTAAACATTTCTTGTGTTAAATTGTTGACTTTTCTTCACTTTTTATGGAACTTAATCTTCTGGCTCAAAAAGGAACCTGAAATGGTCTTACAGTGGCCTGATCGTACTGTTCCACACTATATGTGTAGAGTAGATAAAGGCAGAAGGCAGGGCCTATTTATGCTTTTGAAACAAATGTAGTGAGCATGAATTTGTTTCACAATCCACAGGTACCTGAAATACCATATTTCTTTACCTTTTACAAATCTAATTCCAAGTGAATAAGCCTCTCCCATTCGGGCTGACAGAAAACCCAAACTCAGTCATTCTCTGGCCACCATCACCAAGATGAGAAGACTGGGGCTTGTGAAATCTATTTGGGGAAGGGCCTCTGGTCTGTCCCACAATCTTGAATCACAGAACCTTGAAATACATTATCCACCCCCAAGTGATTTATTCCATGGTGGGTGATGCTGTTGCTCACTGAAAAACTGATTCCACTGGAGTCTTTGCTCTGCCTCTCAAAGCCACAGTATTTATCTATAGGTACCACAATCAGGGATCTTAGCACTCCAACATCCTTCATGGTTAGACTTCTCCCCTTCAACTTTCTAGTCCTCCCTAAACATCAATCCAGTGAAGTAGCTCCAGAAGCACAGATCTAGGTAATAAAAGCATCTCAACTCTCTCCTGGGACAAGGGACACTCAGACTTCTGCAGAAAACCCTCTAGCTACCCTTCAGTTGATATGGATGGAGAATAAAGACAGAGAAAATAAAAGAGAATATATACATTTTTTTTATCATTTCATGCCACCACAGAATAAGCTGTTTTCACTGGTTACCACATTCATGCTTAAAGATTTGGTAAATACAACTATGAAATTATTTTATAATAGAAAAAAATGTAGGAAAGTTTTTTTTTCTTTTGTTCTTTCTTTTGTTCTTTTTTTGGTCATTTGGAGATGGCAACAGAGCAATTCGCAGGTTCAAGAATTTATACACAAAGGTGAAAGGCTTTTTGAAACAACCAGAGTTTTCTTTCAAGTCTAACTTCTAACTAAAAAAAGAACAATTCAAAGAATTGAAGACAATTAATGAGGAAGATGTGTGGCCAGGAAAATTATATTTCAGCAGTATGAAAGGGTTGATCTGCTTCTCCCACTCCACAATTCTCAAAATAATGTAAACTATCATCTTTTTTTAGATGGGAAAAAGTCATGTTCACGATAAGCCGACTTCATTTCCTCCTGTTTCAGCATCTGCTTTCTTGACCTGTCCTCCAATTCCGCATATTTGAACCAGATTGATTGAGGGACATTGGGATGATTTCTAAAGTCTTCCTGCATGGCATCTCACAGTTTTTCAGGTAAATTACTCAGAAAGTTAGACTTGAAAGAAAACTCTGGTTGTTTCAAAAGCCTTTCACCTTTGTGTATAAATTCTTGAACCTGCCAATTGCTCTGTTGCCATCTCCAAATGACCATAACTCATTCATAATCTAAAAGTTTGTATAACTTGAGGATTTTTCTAGGATAAACTACATAAAGCACACTCTTAACATCTAAAATTTGACGAGTGTTTTATGCTGTGTTTACTTTTTCCACGGGAGCGAGAAAGAAATCTAGCATGTCTGACACTTTTAAGAGTTGTGCTTGTTTCGTGTTCTGAATCCAATACAGATGTTGAAAGTTCAAGAGAAAATGCTTAAAAGGAAGTGGTTAGGAATGTCTATTTATACCACAGATAATTAAATTTATAGTACACGTGATATATAATAAATATCTCATGTATAACTGCTAGAATGTAATTAGTCAATTTTCAAATAGGCATCTATTTTCAATTTTAGCTATTTTAAACCTATCAGTATTTATTAAAAGATGGGAAATGAGTTGTGAGATATAATATGTTCTTCATTTTTTACTATACTACCCTTTTATAAGCAGAATGCCAGCTCTTTGTTTATTGTCTTCAGGGACAGGTAAATTGAGGCAAAAAGCAGACAAGTTCTATGGGATTCGCTGGCACTGATTTCCCAGGATGGCAAAGTGCTAAGAACTAAACCTTTAAAGCTAACAAACTGTACTGATGTCTTTACTAAGTATCCAAGACCAACAAGAATTTCCCATCTCACCCTACCACCACCCAGAAGAGGAGCACAGAGATGGGGGAGAGAGTGGCTGCATCTGGCATCCAGCCAGAGGAGTCCGTGCAGGGATTCTGGATCCCTCTTCCTCCACCCCGCTGCCCTTCCCCCTCCACCCCAGCATTTTGGAGAAGAAACTGTAATGATGCAGCTCCCTCAAGTGTCACATGAACATAGTGGAAACAGCCTCCGAGGTAAATATGCCATGCAGACAGAAACAGGCTCAACAGCAATGTATGAGGTCCAAAGACCAGGACCAAAGGGAAAAGCAATCATCTCACCGGACACCTGCCCAGGACCAGATGCATCATCTCCAACATTAGCTACCTCCATAGAACCTGGACTCAAGGTGTGAAATAAAGATTAATGGGAAACTGCAGGAGTCAAAAGGAGGGGGCAGGATTATTGAGGATTCAGGCCATTTAGAAATGAAAGTTTGGATCACTCCCCAGACAAAGAACCCTGACCATCTAAGGGCAATGGAAATATAGAATAAGCAGTAGAAGAAGGATGCCATAGACACCAACTATAGCCTCTCAATCAATTACAAAAATGAGAATTCTGATAGTTTTGTGTATTTTCTTTTTGCATGTGATGTATATGAGTGTATTTTTATATATTAACAATTTTCCTTTTTCTCTCCTTCTCATTATTGTATGAAAGCTTTTGAATGTAAACTCTACAATTTAGCCTTTAGGTAACAGAATATTCAGTGGGACTTTGATTTGAGGAGTATTTAAGACAGTCAGCTGAGACTACGATGACTGTTGGAAATGTGTGTCTCCTCATTTGGGGAAAGGGATGAGAACTCTGCACTTCTCCGAAGAACAGAGTTGACTCTGTGTTATACAGAGTTCAAATATATATATAATCATGCATATGGAAGCTAAGAAGCCAAAGGAGTTGACTGAGACAGTTACCAATATATTGCCTCTCAGCTCCAAATCCACCCTTCTTTGCTCTGTTCCATAATACTAATCTGGCTCCTTGGTCAGCCAGTGCAATGTCATGTGTTGTTGGTAGAGTGTAGGAAAAACATTACAAGGTATAGCAAAGGGGTCAGGTGCAGTGGCTCATGCTTGTAATCACAGCCCTCTGGGAAGCAGAGGCAGGAGGATCACCTGAGGCCAGGAGTTTGAGACCAGCCTGGACAACATGGTAAAAGCCCATCTCTAGTACAAATACAAAATTAGCTGGGCATGGTGGCACGCATCTGTAATCCCAGCTACTTGGGAGGCTGAGGCAAGAGATTCACTAGAGGAGGCAGAGGTTGCAGTGAGCCGAGATCGCATCATTGCACTCCAGCTAGGGAAAAAAGGCAAAACTCTGTCATAAATAAATAAATTAATTAATTAATTAATTAAATTAAATAAAACAAAGTATAGCAAAGAAAGGATCATTCCTTCTTGATTCTTCCTGGTTCTTCTTACCTGTGGCCGCCACCAGTGGTATATGGGAGAGTCACCCTACAGTGAGTTTCACCAGCACCAAGTGAGGGCTTCCTATTGAGTTTTATTGTCACCCAAACAGGCAATTTCCTTGCCAGCAGTACGCAGGAGACCCAGTGGTGACCACCTTCCAGTGGGTTTTGCCAGCACCTTAGAAGGCACTTTTCTGACCACAGTGCTGATCCACTGACACCCAACAGCCAGCACCCTACTCACCAGGCCTGGTCTATGGCACCTCAAGGAACTTTTCTATCCTGGGGACCACAGCCCCACCCTCTCCAACAAGGTCTGAATCTCAGCCTTGAGGGGAAAGGCTGAGGAGAAAGACCCTTCCATGCTTGTTCCTTTCTTGGGTATCCTCCCTCAGTCCTAGAAGTAGCAGCTCCTCCCAATGTTTGGTATTTCTGTGTTATTTAGCATGTAATTTACCCCTTTTGTAGTTAATCACATTTTACCAGTTAATAATTCTTTATAGTAAGTTTTCCCTCTTTGAATTACTATCTCTCACCAAACACCTACTTCTATATCCTCATCAGACACTGAGTGACACAACGCCCTTCAGAAAAGAATCCCTTTTCCCCTGCCCTTCATAATGAAAACTCTCAACAAATTAGGTATAGCAGGAACATACCCTAACATAATAAAGGCCACATATGGCAAGCCCACAGCTAACATCATACTGAATGGGGAATAACTGAAAGCCTTTCCTCTAAGAACTAGAATAAGACAAGGATGCCTACTCTCACCACTCTTATTCGGCATTATACTGGAAGTCCTAGCCAGACTTTCTCTTTCCAGAAAGAGAAAGAAATGAAAGGCATTCAAACTGGAAAAGAGGATGCCAGCCAGGTGTGGTGACTCGAGCCTGTAATCCCAGCACTTTGGGAGGTTGAGGTGGGCAGATCGCTTGAACCCAGGAGTTCAAGTCCAGACTAGACAACATGATGAAACCCTGTCTCTATGAAAAATACAAAAATTAGCCAGGCATGGTGGCACACACCTGTAGTCCCAGCTACTCAGGAGGCTGAGGTGAGAGGATCACTTGAGCCTGGGAAATAGAGGATGCGGTGAGCCAAGATCACACCAGAGCACTCCAGCCTGGGTGACAGAGAGATTCCAATTAAAAAAAAAATGAAGAAGCCAAATTGTCTCTCCTTCAGATGATATGATTTTATGCATAGAAAAACCTAAAAACTCCACCAAAAAATCCTCTTAAAACTGGTAAACAAATTCAATAATGTTACAAGACACAAAATCAATATAAAAAAATCAGTTGTGTTTTTATACACCAGTAACCAACTAACTGAAACAGAAATCAAGAAAGCAACCTCATTTAGAACTTCAAAAAATCCTCAGGGATAAATTTAGCCAAGGAGGTGGAAGATTTCTACGAAAAACAAAACAAAACAAAAAACACTACACCTGATGAACGAAATTGAGGAGGATACCAAAAATTGAAAGACGTATTATGCTCATAATTGGAACAATTAATATTGTTAAAAATGACTATACTACCCAAGGCAAGCTACAGATTTAATGCAATTCCTATCAAGATACTAATGACATTCTTCGAATCAATAGAAAAAAACAATCCTAGAATTCATATAGAACCATAAAAGAGTCCAAATAGGAGCAATACTCAGTAAAAAGAACAAAGCTGAAGGCATCACACTAACACATTTCAGAATATACCACAAAGCTCTAGTAACCAAAACACTATGCTATTGGTATAAAAACAGATACATAGACCAATGGAACAGAATAGAGAATCCATAAATAAATTCATACATTTACAGCCAGGCAATTTTTGACAAAGTTGCCAGGAACATACACTGGGGAAAGGACATTTTTTTCAATAAATCGTGCTAAGAAAACTGGATATTCACATGCAGAAGAATGAAACCAGACCTCTATCTCTCACCATGTATAAAAATCAACTCAAAATGAATTAAAGAATTGAATATGGGACCTGAAACTATAAAACTACTAAAAGAAAACATAGGGGACATGCTTCAAGATATTGAGCTAGGCAAAGATTTTGTGGCTAAGACCTCAAAAGCAGAGGCAACCAAAAGAAAAATAGACAAATGGAACTACAGTAAACTAAAAAGCTTCTGCACAGGAAAGGAAACAATCAATAGAGTGAAGAGATAACATGTACAATGGGGAAAAAATTGCTAACTATTCATCTAACAAGAGACTAATATCCAGAATATACACAGAACTCAAACAACTCAATAGCAAAGAATCAAATAATCTCACTAAAAAGTGAGCAAAGGACATGAATAGACGATTCTAAAAAAACAAACAAATGGCTAACAGGTTTAGGAAAAACTGCTCAACATCACTACTCATCAGGAAAATACAGATCAAAACCACAATGAGATACCATCTCACCCCAGTTAGAATGGTTATTATCAGAGTCAAAAAATAACAGATGCTGGTGATTATGTAATCAGGGATTACTGATTTACTCATTGTTGGTGAGAATGTACATTAGTACAATCATTACGGAAAACAGTATCAAATTGTCTTTAAAAACTAAAAATAGAACTACCATCCGACCCAGCAATCCCACTACTGTCCATCTATCCAAAGGAGAGGAAATCAATAAATGAAAGGGTTAACCATAGCCCCCATATTTATTGCTGCTCTATTCACAATAGCCAAGGTATGAAATCAACCCAAGAGTCCATCAACAGATGAATGGATAAACAAAATGTGGTATATACACAACAAAATACTATTCAGCCATAAAAAATGAAATCTCGTCATATGCAGCAACAGAGATGGAATTGCAGGTCATTATGTTTAGTGAAACAAACCAGGCACAGAAAAACAAGTATCACATGTTCCCACTCACTTATGTGGGAGCTAAAAAGTTGATCTGATGGAGGCAGGGAATAGAATGATAGATGCCAGAGACTGGGAAAGGGCTGGGGGGATGAGGAGAGATTGATTAATGGGTACAAACATACAGTTACATGGAAGAAATAAATTCTAGTGTTCAATGGCACAATAGAGTGTCTATAGTTAACAAAAACTATATTGCATATTTCAAAATAGCTGAAAGAGAAGATCTGAAATGTTCCAAACACAAAGGAATAACAAATGCTTGAGGTAATGGATTTTCTAAATACCCTGATTTGATCATTATATACTGTATGCATGTATCAAACTCTCACATGTACCGATAAATACATACAAATAGTATGCATTAATAAAAATAAATAATAATTAATAAACTTTAAAAATGATCTCCTTTAGAAAAGTTCTAATTTTTTCAACAAAAATTGATAGTGTTAAAAAAATTATAACACCTCAAACAAGACCTTTCACAAAATAGATGCTAAAAAAATTCATTGAATTTTTGCCAAATAATTATAATTGTAAAATTTTCCTTTTACAAGGCTGTGAAGAAATTGGAATCCTCATGCCATACTTACTGGTGAGATTGTAAGATGATGCAGCCACTTTGCAAACAGTCTGGGAATTCCTAAAAATATTAAACATAGAGTCACCCTATGACCCAGTAAGTCTATTTCTAGATATGTACCCAAAAGAAATGAAAACATAATGCCACACAAAAACTTGCTCACAAATGTTCATGGCAGCATTGTTCATAGTAGCCAAAAAGTGAAAACCATCCAAATATTCATCAAGTGAGGAATGGATAAATAAAGATGTGGAATACACATACGATGGAATATTACTCAGCTATAAAAGGTAAAGACACGTACATATGCTACATGATAAATGTGAAAGCATTATACTAAGTGAAAGAAGCCAGAGCCAGTCACAAAATAACCACATATTGTATGATGCCACTTATAGGAAATGTCTAGAATAGGCAAGTCTATGAGGACAGAAAGTTGCTTAGTGGTTGCTAAGACTGAGGCTACAGGGTGGCAAGAGGGAGCTGCCAGGAATGCAAAATGCTAATGAATATTAAGTTTCTTTTGGGGTTCTAACATGTTCTAGAGTTAGATGGTGGTGATGTTTGCACAACTCTATGGTTATACTAAATGAATGAACTGTACATTTTAAATAGATTTAAATGTATGTAAATTATATCTTAATGTCTGGGTTTTTTTAATTGCCTTTTAAATGTGGCTTTAGTTCTGTCTGTATGCTTCATGAAATGTATCAAAGTAATGCTAAAATAAAACCAATAATTAAACCCAATGAATCACAAAATCTTTATTTTAAAAAGTTTATCTGGCATTTTCTGTTTCATTTTATTAGCATTTAATATAAATTGTTTTGAAAACATCTGAAAGGATAGTGGATGATTTTTCTCAGATGTTTTATAATAGACTGTTACATAAGACTGCCTGAAGGGCAGGCCTTGATGAATGCAATGTAATGTGCAATAATTCTAATTCAATGTTAAAGACAAGCTCATGCCACATAATAAGCAGGAAAGTGTGATGGGAAATGCCAAGGGCTGTTCTGGTTCCATGTCTAGAAACAGGCACTAGAGTTTTGGAAGGCGCCCTTACCTCTCTGGGCTTCTCTCATCTATGAAATGAGGCTGTTGAGGCAGAGGGTCTCAGAGCACCTTCATGGCTCGAACATTCTGTAAGTGAGGTTCTGTTATGTAGATGTTAATATTATCTTATAAGTCATAGGAGGAAAGGTAAATATAGGTGAGTTCTAAGCAAAGTTTGCAAATGGAAATAAATTTTTGACATTGAATACTGAAGTATGATGGCTTTGAAGGCCA